CTTCCTTCACCTCTCGGTTTCTGGCCCAAATCAAAACCGAGGGGTGAAAGGACCGCGGCCTTCCTTCACCTCTCTTTTTGTGGCCAAAACCGAGGGGTGAAAGGAGCGCGGCCTTCCTTCACCTCTCGGTTTGTGGCCAAAACCGAAGGGGTGAAAGGAGCGCGGTCTTCCTTCAGAGGGGTGAAAGGAGTGCAGGATTGCTGCCTTCCTTCACCTCTCGGTTTCTGGCCAAAATCAAAACCGAGGGGTGAAAGGACCGCGGCCTTCCTTCACCTCTCTTTTTGTGGCCAAAACCGAGGGGTGAAAGGAGCGCGGCCTTCCTTCACCTTTCGGTTTCTGGCCAAAACCGAGGGGTGAACGGACCCGGACCGAAAAACTCACAGGAGAGACGGCGTGCTTGAAGTGTGGACAGAAGGGCCGCACCCACCAGTGTCCAAAGAGAGAGGTGTCCTTCCAGAGTGAACATGAGGAGGAGTCTGCGCCTTTCGTGCGCTAGGTCACGGAGCAGGACACCATGGACCAGGACGGGGACGCAAAAGTCGAACAGCAGCGGGGAGACTTGCCGTTGCGATGCTTGCGGGACAGACACATTACGAGAACTCGAAAACCATAAGGAAAACAGCCTTCAACACCCACACCATAAGAGCTTCTTTCTCCCCTTATGCGGCCGACATTTCCTTATGCTGAGAGTTTTCTCCCATTACGCGATCCTGGCTATTCCTGATGCGAATCTGGCTTCTTTTTTGCGAACCTGGATTTTCCCTATGCCCTATGCTCTCCTTTCCGGCCCCCGGCCGTTGAATTCGGGATCCGCTGCGACGTCAGCGACAGGATGCTTAGGATGCTTGCTAAGGACGATCTCACTCTGTCGTTGGCGTCCCCATAACAAGAGAGAGAGAGAGAGAGAGAGAGAGCATATCACCTCGAGAGACCTCGAGCTGGCCTTAAGAGCAGCAACTCGTAATTTTGCCTGATGAACTTGCACGGGATGCCCTTCTCAGGCTGCAATGGTAAGGTTGACGCCTTTGTCAAGACAAAGGCAAGCGCATAAGCCATGCGCAAGCTCCGGCAAGCGAGCAGATATCAGAACCCTAACACCAAGTTGGAGTTTCATCAACCAAGCCATTGTTACGCGCCCAAGTCAGAGGTGACATCACGGAAACAAGAAAAACCAGGCAGCACGGCAGCTCACTGAGGGCCGTGCCTTTCAAGGTCTGAACCTAGAAACGCACTCGCCCGCTCTCGCTCTCGCTCTCGCGGCGCGCTCTTGCAACCGCGCCTCGTAGCCGCAGAGTTGGAAAAGCCAGGCCATAGAGCCGCTGCGCATCCCGCCGCGCCAGCCTCACAGAGGAGCTGCGATTCGCTCCGTCCCTCGTGCCGTGACGAGGATACTCCACGTGCTTCGAGCTGCAATACACGAGCAAGCGCGAGCCCGGCTTCGCCCCCAGCTCCTCACAAGGTGACAGCAGAGAGCACATGTGGTCCAGGCGAGCCGTACGAGTCCTGCAAGGCATCGACGAAGCTTGCGAAGTTCGGCCCCGCCAGCTGCAGGCCTCGTCGGATCGCCTCACAGCCGCTAGAAGCCTAGAAGCTTCAGACAGCTTCGTGCCTGGCTCCCACAATCATAAAACCACTGCTAACTACTAACTGCACTTCGCCCCACCCCCCTCCCTCCCCTATTTCTTTCTTTCCTCCCCTTTCTTTCGCCAGGGCTACGGGCAAAGGTTGCCCTCTGCCCGCGCGCGTCAGCGCCCCCGTATGTTACGGGGCGAGAAGTAAGATTAGATGCACACTCCACCAATGCAACTCCCTCCCTCCCTCCCTCGCTCGCTCGCTCTCCCTCTCTCTCTCGTCTCGCCGAGCCTCGAAGCGGCCCCTGCGCTTGAAGTCGGTGCCCACGGTCGCGCGTGCCTCGTCGTCGAAGAGCGGGAGGTTCATCGCACCTGCGGTGCGGCCGATGCCCGGTGTCTGGGGTTCATTGCCCCTCTGTCCGCCTGGGATGTGTCCGACAGCGAACTCGCCGGGTGACCGCACATCCACCAACACCAGGCGAGGCCTTAATTTCGAACAAAAACCAGAAGGAAAGAGCCGGTTGGAAGTACACGCCGTGGACTCTGAGGCGATCGCGAGGGCTCGGACAGGTCATTGCCTGCGCCTTGCCTCGGAGGACCATCTGCGGCCTCCAAAAACTCCTCCACGTCCAAGGACGCGACGCCTCTCAAAGCACAGCCGCATGCAGCCGCACTGCTTCGCATCGCTTGGCATGTCGTGCGGTGGCCCCGCGGCCCCTCCCTGCCCGTCCCCGGCGCCACCCCAAAGCCTGAGCAAGGCGCTGGAATCGCCGGGAAGTCCATTCCATCGGCTCAGCGACGGCATCCCATGGCGCTTCACAGTCTGCTAGTGCAACCCTTGTGAGATGAGATCTGATCTGGGATGCTCCTTCTAGTCACAACTGACAGCTGGTCTTTAGGACTGTCCCTCCGATTGGAAGCCGGTTGAGAGAGTGACGCTGCTCCCGGCCTTGCCGCCCGGGCCGCCCTGGCCGCCCGGGCCGCGGTTCCCCAGCTTCTTGCCGAAGGTCTTCAAGCAAATGGCGATGTGCCTCTCACCCGCCTCGCCGAGTGCTGAGGGGGGCCGGCGGGCTCGCCGGCAGGGCCCTCCGGCAAGCTCTGTTGGATCCTAGGAGGGCCTCCTTGTTGAAGGTCCTGCCGCAGTGGGGGCCTCTAGGCAGGGGCTTCTTGCGGGTTCTAAACGTCCACCGATCTGAGCCCAGCGGCATCTCACCATGTCCGACTCCATGACGTTTCCTCCCGAGGCCAAGTTGGCCGCGTTGATCTCCTTCTGCAGCTCCGCGGCCTCGCGCGCTTTGAGAGCCCTGCCTAGAGCCGTGTCCCGCCGCATTTTTCGCCCTGGCTCCGCCCTGCCTTTTTGGCGGCTTCGGGGTCGGAAGAACCCTGGTCAACTCGCAGTGAATCATTCAGCATGCAGGGCGTTTGCGGATGTCGCCTTTGCTGCAAGGATGGCCTGGCGGAAAGCCAGCGACCTTAGGAGCAGTGCGATTCAAAGATCGCAGCTCCGAGGAGTTGTCTGATCTTGTCTGATTTTGCCTGGCCACTGCGCCTTCCACTTCGGGACGGACTTGTCCTGTCCAGCTGCGCTGCGAACATCCTCTTGAATTTCAGTGTGTCAGCCAACGCTTCTGCGACCACTGGCCTTTTTGGCTGCCTTGTCCGGCACCTCTTTCGGAGCGTCTTTTTGTCGCTCTATCCTCGCGGCGGCCACGTCCAAGCAACATTGGCCCACGCTGTCACTGTCCCCATAAACAGAGGCATACTGAGGCTCATGCTTGGAGGCATTTTCGATGAGGAGGCTGGCATTCTCGAACTCACCCAAGCGGTTGGCAGCACCTTGGGATGCACAGGATCCGAGCAGCAGCCAAAGAAACGCTTGCCCCCTTCATTCCCTTCCCTCCCTTCCCTCTGGTCTTAGGGACTGTTGAACTGCTTGCGTTTCTGCTGAAAGACCTGCACCGGACGGAACTCGGATGCTTTTCGCGCAATGGGATTGCACAGAACGCTAACCGCGCCTTCTTGCAGATTTTCTTATGCCGCTCCAGACCTGCCGAGAAGGGTGAATGCTCTGCAAAGAAAGACCAATCCAATAAATCCTCTCCGGTCATCTGCGTTTGCATAATTATGGCCCGGACTGTCTGCTTTGAAGCTGCGGCCACAGTCGGGACAGGGTATTAGAGGCCTTGGCAAACCGGAGTGAAGACGTCTCGGCAACTTCGGCCACAGCTCAGGCGAGCTCCCGCCGTCATCATCGCTGCCCCCCACGAGGCCCTCAACAGACTTCGGCGTCGACCTACCTGTTACGATCAGAGCTTGGCTTGGAGGCTCAAGCTTGATCCAAAGCTCCAAAGCACTTTCTGCCTGAGTTTAAGCCTGGCTTTGCAGGCACCCGTGCCTGGCTCGGGATGGGATTTTCTTTTTTTCAGCAGTGCACGAGCGAGAGACCCTGCCACGTGACCTGTGAGGGTGTCAGCGTGGGCTGTGACGCTGTCAATGGCGTGGGGTAGCCGTCCTCCACCAGCCTCCGGCAACTGGGCCGCAACATCCGCCAAACACTCTCGCAGAGCTGGTGGCCTCCTGGTGGTGTCCGGCTTCGCCTCAGGCTTGGGCCGCGGGCTCGCTGGCCGCGGGCTCCCTTGCCGTGGGCTCGGGATCCCCCGGGGCTCGGCCACGGTCGGTGCGGATGGTGGGTCCTCAGTCCCAAACCCAGTCCCAAACCCAGGCAAAGACAAACGGAGTAAGTAACAGCAGTAACAGATCGGACAGGGGCTGTTTTGAGGGCTCGCAGGTCGGCTTCAAGAGTCCCTTTTCTTCTGGCGGGCTCTGCCCGACAGAAGCTCCAGCTCTGGCATTGCTCAAGCATTTCGTCTCCGTTCTGGTCGGATGCCACCACCTGCGCCCTGGAAGACGGAGCACTCGTTCCCAGCTCCTCAAGAGCTTTGGATCCTGCTACGTCACGCCATGTCCTGTGCTTCTCAAAAGGCGCACTTGTGGCCCTCACCGCCGAGGCCGTGCTCTCGCGAAGGGGGAGACGAATCCCTGGCAAGCCGCCGTTCATGGCATGGCATAGCCAGAACCGGCTCAGAGGCCCCGGGCCTTCTCCATGTCTGGCCGCTTGCCTTTTCCTTTGCCCTTATCGCTCTCCTGACTACCATCGAAGCGCCCGCGCGCGCTTGCGACGCATCAGAAACATGCCTCCTGTGCCGGCTTGTCCCCAAGCCTGACATGAAAACTGCAGGGGGAGCTCACAAGGTCCAGCCATGTCGTGAGACTGAGGATGCAACCACAACATTCTTGCCCGGTCTTGTGCCTGTCTTTGCTTCTCCTTCTCGCCCTGAAAAGGGTTATGGAACTGGTCGATACAGGAGCTGAGGCACTCCTGAGACTTTGGCGGCAGTCCAGGTGTTTAGAAACGGCCCCGGCTGCGCCTTCGCTCGGAAAAGAAGAGAGAAAAAGAGAGAGGGGCGCGCTAAAAGGGGAGGAGGCTCCGGGGCAGCGGCCAGAGCACGGCCTCGGCCAGCGGCGGGCCTTCAAAGAACGGCCGCTTGCCGCTTTGCATGGCCAATTTTTGCAAAGGGCAACGGCCTCTCGTTCTCACCTCCGGGACTCTTTCGCGAGAGCCCATGCTGTGATGCACTCCGTCGCGGACCTTCTGGGTCACGCTCCGGGACACCGCGCTCTGGTCCGAAGGGCTTGGACCTGAGCTCGGGAGCTGGGAGATTCACATGGGCGCCCTTTGCGCTCGCTGGGCCATGCACGGCTTCTGAGGGCCGAAGACCTCGAAAAGACGACAAACCGGCCAGACTCTTCCAGAGACACACGCGTCACCTCTGGCTTCGCTTCCGACTCGGAGTCGGAGCGCAGGCCCTGCAAGCGCAATTCCACACACAGCCGCACACAGAACACTCACCTCTCTCGCTTCGTTGCTTCCCTTCTTCCTTCCTTCCTTGCTTTCTTTCTTCGCGTTCTGTCGTTCTGTCTTTTGTTGCTTTCGGTCCCTTTCTTTGCTTCTCTCCGCGAACGCGGCGTCCTCTGGAGTTTTGGAGCCCAGGCTCGACGAGGAGGAGCTCTTGGAAGGCGACCTTCTCAAAGACGGGTTTGAGCTGCGGAAAAGGGAAGAAGAAAGGGCGCGCCGAGCGTCCGGCGGCGTCGGGGTGCGGGCGCGCTTGCGCTTCCGCTGGGGGCTGCCTCAGAGATCCACTGCACTGCACATCCGCAGAGTTCCGCAGAGTCTCTGGGATCTCTGCGCTTCGGGCTGCGGCTACGGCTGCGGCTCCGTTCCCGCCTGCCAAGTGGTACAAACGGTCAAGGGGGATTCTACATGCAGACATGACAAACAACACTTCTTCGGCCCCATCCGCTTCTCGAAGACCCCTTCGGCAGCTCGACGTGACAGGCTGTCGTTGGGCGCTAGACTCGTGGTGTATCCGTTGCATGCGCATCCTCGCCCGTGACATCGGCGCAGTGAAAACGCAGCGACAACAACCACGGCATCTAGCTGTGTGTTGCTGGGCAAGCTCTAAGACAAAAGGCGCAGTCGACAGCAATCTCATTTTGCAGACAGCAGTTCTCTCTCCGTCAACGTATAATCGTGTGGTCTAGAGAGAGTCTAGATGATGATGAAGTTGAGCTTGGTGAGGACGGCCAGCCCTACGACGGTCAAGGCGAAGTAGAGCAAGAGGATGGGTTCTAGAAGGCCGAGGGCTCTTCCGGAGCTCCATCTCAGAGTTGCCTTGGCGAGAGCCTCCCTGGAAGAATTCCGCAGCTGCACAAAGGGGACATCCTCCTCCTCCTTTGCTGAGGAGAGTGCCGCTTCGGCCTTGCTGCGAAGTATCGCCCGCTGTCGTGCGACCTCCGTGTTGGCGAAGTGCGCCTGGAGCAGCGCGTGGACGGCGGGCGAGACGACCGCGAGCGCAACGGTGAGGGGTATGACAGGGTCCAGGATGGGCTCAAGGAAAGGCAGTGAGGAGCGCAAGGAAGCGAAGGAGGGCTTTTGGGGAAGGGAGGATCGCAAGGAGGGAGGCAAGGGCAAAGAGGAAGGCAAGGGCAGGTAGGGGAGGGTGATGAGCAGAAAGGCCAGAAACAGCAAAGCTTCCGTCATGGACACGATAACCTCCACGGGCTTATGCAAGATCTGCCATCGTGCATCGGAAAGCTCCAAGGCAAAGTCACTGCAACGGACGACCTCCTCGCAGTAGACGATGGCCTGCTCTAAAGGCACTTCCCGGACGCCGGTGGCCCAGGGTGGCTGGTGCTCACGCATGAAGCGCAGGGCCGCGCTCCGCTGCCGCAGGGAGAGGCTGGCGACATGCAGCAAACTGGAGATGTCGTAGAGACGCTCAAAGCAAAACCACATGAGCAAAACCTCAGCTGTTATGGCCATGAGCCTGTCCACGGAGTAGGGGAGGCCGTAAGCCTGCACGATCTGCAACGGCGAACTGGCACCATAGAAGCCTCTGAAATTGCTCGTGAAGGTCCAGCGAAGGTGCATCAAGAACAGCACAGACAAGAAGCAGCTGACCATGCTGAGCACAGAATGCTCGAGCAATGCTGCATGATTTACATGCATGATACCTGCATTTATCAGCTGCTGTTGAAATTTGTCGCTGAAATTCCCGCCTATCTCCGAGCCTGAGTGCGGAGATGCTGCATCTGCTTCCTCGTGCCTATCCTTGGGTGACTCGGCCTCTTTGGATTCCAGCTCAGCGCCGCTGTCTGGCTGCCTTTCGGCCCTCTCCGCTTTTTCCCTCTCCGAGGTCTCGCGCCTCCGGAGAAGACGGCGCTGCTTTTTGGTCTTGTTGGGTGCGGCCGTGCTGCGCGTGCTGCACTGCGCCCTGGCCCAGCGAGGGCCGTGCTGCACGCCGAACACGGCAGTGACGGCCCCTGCTGCATCCATCTCTTGCCCCGGCATGAGCTCAGCATCACAGTCTGTCTTCTCAGGCATGGGCGTCGGGATGCTGCATGCAGCAACACATGAGGCCATCCGGGCATAGCACACATACAGTAGATTGAGGAGGAAGGCATCACCATATCGCCCTGCATAGCAAAGCAGCCAAACCTCCAATGCAAATAAGCACAGAGCCCTGAAGATCACCTCGATTGTCCCCACATTCTTCGCTCTGAATGCACAGATATCCCGCACTCGGAGTCGACATTCCTCGTCATCGTCAGTGAGGTACTCTTCATCAAAGGTGTCCTGCGGAGCAGGGTTTCAATCCCGACAAGATCAACTGTTGCTGTGGCCTACGCAGGAACCCCGCGCCCAAGGTGTCACCTTCTGCACTACGCATTGCACGAAGTCTCTGCAGCCTGATGCAATTCTCGAAGACACTCCTTCTCGGGCGGGATGCGCACGCAAAGCAGGAGCCAGGAAGCATAGGCGCCAAAGACAGCTTGAAAGAAGCTGTCCAGACTGTCCCAGGCCGGGATCGGTCGGGCGATCAGCTGGCCCTTCACGAATCGATAGGGCAGCTGCTTCTTCTGGCGACAGGGATCGAAGTCTGGATCTGCCAGTCGCACAGGACTGAAGGCTCCCGGAAGCATTTCGGCCATGGAGATGGGAACTTCAAACCATCCAAAGACTCGAAGTCGAAAGGAGACATAGACCAGCAAGCCGAACACCAGAAGGATCAGGGCTAGCAGTATGGCACCCAGAGAATAATTTCTTGCAAAGGAATCGAAGCCTTGAGCGGAGAGCAGCAACTCCATCTCTCGTCGCACTGAAGCATTTTGACTGCTGTGTGCGTTGGCGCCCATGATCTTTACCTGGTAGTAAGTGATCCAATTGTGGGGAATGTCCCCCACGGTTTCTTGCTCCTCGGGTGTCGGGTGAAGCGCTCTGGGCACCAGGCTCCGGAGGGTGTCGAGGCCGTCGGAGAGGTTTTGGGGATCCCAGTAACGGTTCAGCTTCGGAAGCTTTTGGGCTTCTGCTTGTAACCGCCTCCGCAGCCGTGCCAAGCCCAAAGCCAACTCGGAGTCCGGGGCTTCGAAGAGCGCGCCGGCCAGCGCCAGACCCGAAGCGGCTCCTGCGGTGCCTCTGACTCCTCCCACCGCCAGCTCCAGTGGCGTCACCGCTTTGCCACTAAGGCAGAGCAAGCTGAGGCCAGTCTTGGGCTCTGCGCCGAGGAGGCGCACGGCGTCCACATCACCTGACTGCATTGCCCGCTGCATCTCGGGATGCCTCGGCTTGAAGACAGACTACAGACCAGTTGCAGAGACAAACTGCTCCCGACACGGTTTGGAAGCGCGGACAAGCTGGACAACACTGTGGAAATTCTTGCTGCACACAGCTGACGCATGCTACTGGATGGCTTGAGTCAACGAAGACCCATCCAGTATGCTGTGTAAACGTACCGTTCAGTTGCATAGATAACGCTCTCTACGGACTGTCGAAAGCATCGGGGTCATCACAGCTCCGAAAGATACGGTGGACATTCTCAAAAGGCTTGTGGCACAGAGAACACAGGAACAAGCAGGCCGCTGCAGTATCGCCCTGTTTGGACATTTCACCTGGCCCAACAACGAGAACATATTTCTTTTCAGGCCCGGTAACGTCACCGCGTCACACCCTTTTGCTTATTGAAGTGCAGATTGCAAGCAGTGTTTTGAGAGGCGTTCAACTGCCTATGCGGCTGAAGATGATAATTACATCTGAAGTTGCCAAGCAGTATCAATCAGAGCGATGAGCGTGCGTGCGTGCGCGTGCGCATAGCTCTGCTCGTGGAGCCGAGATTCTCCGTGAGGCAAGCGTCCAAGTCCGAGGTATTTCGGTCTAGGGAATCGCTCGACGAGAGGATCTCTGCCTCGCAAGAAAGGACTTTTTAGTCGCAACAGCTCATGCGTTTTTGGTCGGGCCTCCGTCTCGATGGCTGGCCGAAAAGATGCAGCTAAATTCAGAGTAAGGCCGATCAAAGCAGTCGCTCTCCATGGCATGTGTAGACTCGAAGCACAGCGGGGCAGGCCCCAGTGTGCATTGGGACGGAACACACTCAGCCACAATGGCTGCTGAGAAGACCCAGAAACAATACTCACCGAACAGCTGGAGCTCAATCCGACTCAAGCCAACTGGGCGAACACGAGCCGGGCCCACTTCTTGCGCTTCTCCTGGCAAGGCTAGAGAGTCTCGGAGACGTTTGGCAGTCTTCAGCACAGAAGGCACCTTGTTCTCCTTGACTGCCTTCTGCTTCGGTGACGGCGGCTTTAGCTCCTGAACTGGCATTTTCCCCGGGGGGCGCAGCAGATCTCCGGTGCCAGGCGCATGGGAGCCTTCTTCTTTGGCTCCTCTTTGGGAGCCTTCTTGGCCTTTCTCGGAGTTACAGGAGCTCCGGAGACTTGCCTGGCCGCTCTCCCCGAGGCTCCGACCTCCGAGGGCCGCGACTGCTCTCTGCCTCAGAGCAGAGCGCGCCAGAGCAGAGGCCCCTCTGTGCTTTCTGGGCTCCACTCTCTCCCCTAAACCCTAAACCCTGAACCCCAAACCCTAAACCCTATACAGGCAGTTTCACACTACCCTAACTCCTCGTGTTTCTCTCTGCTCCGGGCGGAGCAGCTCTTCGTCGTCCAGCAGCTCCCAGTCATCTTCGTCATCCTCGAGAGCTGCTCCCAGGCGCTCTCGAGCCGCTCCCCGAAGCGCAAAGGAGACGTCCCCTAGCAATGGTAGTAATAGTAATGGTAGTAATAGTAGTAATAGTAGTAATAGTAGTGATAGTGGTAATAGTAGTAACAGTAGTGATAGTAGCAATAGCAGCAATAGTGCTTGTCCCCCACCTTCTTGGATTCCTCGACTTTCTTGGGCTTCTCTTTGAAGAGCCTCGGAGCTGAAGGACCAAAAATGAGGTGATCAACTGGGGCTCCAAAAAGGTGTGGGCCCCTTCTTCCGGGGCTTTGCTTCTGGGACCTCCTTGATCGCCTCTTTCTTATCGGCCTTTAGGCCACGACGTCTGCACTGCACGCCGCGCGACTAACTCCCGGGCCTTCTTGGGGAGCTCTTCCACCTGCACCTTGAAACACCCTCAACTTGCTGAACGAGCGCCAACGCGGGCTGAGGGAAGGAGCCTTCTTCTTGCTCTTCTCGTGAATCTCCTTCTTTTCCCTCTTACCTTTCTTTGGCTGGGGCCTGCTTGCAACCGGCAACTGCCTCGCTCCAGTCTAAGCCTGAGCCATCTAAGCTGCAGGCGACGCAGAAGAACTCCGCTTCCGGACCATGGCCCCGAAGAAGGGATAAGAAGTGGCAGAAAGGTTCTTTGGACTGGCGTTTTTCGAGGAATCCCATGATCTGCAACCGCTTGGTCTAGAAGAGCCACAGAGGGAGCCGGCTCAGGCCAGACATGAAACTGTCAGAACTCCAGGCTCCAGACCCAGGTGACACCTCTTGCGGCAGACTTCTCGGCCTCAGCTCAACAGGGCGGCCCGGGCATTGCAAGGCGACGCGGGTGTAAGCGGAGCGGCCAGAGTCCGCCCTGAAGGCGGTCGCCTCTACAGGGAAAAGCACGGCCGAAGAAAGGAAGGGAGCACAGATGAGCACAGCTGCAGGCGTGCCCCAAGCGCGGATCCACCATATCGAGGGATGCCTTTCCAGCAAGATCCAGCAAGTACCCGGTTCTCTTCCTGTCAGGCACCCACCTGCTGCCGACGCTGCCGCATCTTGGACTTGAGTAGCACCTTTGCGTCTCCGTCGGGCTTCAAGAGGAAGCTCAGGATGCTTTGCTCGGGCCCCATGCAGAAGCTGAGAGACCGCAGGAAGAACGGAACCAGCTCTTGCAGCATTAGGTTGTTGAGTGCTCTTCTCTAGCTTCTTTACCATGCCTCGCATCCGTCTACAACTTCCCCTCCATCCCCATGAGCTGGCAAACAGAGGGTTGTGAAGCTACCTTTTTGAAGCGACTCCATAGCCTATGGATTGACTTTCACCATGGCATGAAGGTGTCCTCCACTCGATGTTTTGCAAAGACTGTGTTGGGAATGATTTGCAATCGAGGGCGGCCTGCCACAGCTGGTCTATGAGCTTCGCGTGGTGCGGGGCGGAGGCGGCGTACCGGGAAGCGGGATACCGAACGGCGGCCTATCGAGTGTGCTGTTCACTTTCGCAAGTCGCGGGGATGAGCCCGGGTTTCACAGGCCCGCATGCCGGTGAGGACCCTACATTGCTCTGTATCACCGTGGGATGTAGTGCGGATTCTGCTCGCAGGACAGATCTACCCTCCCGTTGAAGCTTTTTGGTAGGCCGTTTTACCCGCGGCTCTCAGCATAAAAGTTTGCTGCCTTTCACTGAGGCGCATGTGCGCTTTCATGCCCATGACACGACAGACACCTGTGCACGCCGCTGCTTTTACCACGCCAGCACGAAAGCGCGAAGGCATCACCGGCGTTTGTTGCATAGGCAAGGCAGGTTGGGACTTACCTTTCCTTACAAGCCGAAGCCGAAAGTCCGGCACCCTTATAAAAAGGACCCGAAAAGGGACCCTAATTTAGAGAACTACCCACTTACCTGTCTTTACCAAACCGAAGCCAAAAGGTCCTCACACCTTGCCGCACGTAATGCTAGTGAAATCTCAGAAACCAATCAAAAACGTAGAGGCCAAAGGGTTCAAACCAAAAAACCAAGAACAACAGACAACTGCTTCCGACACATTAAGACAACGGGAAAACAGAAAACATAGGAACAAACAGACAAACCTCTGAAAAGAGTTATAAAATCTTGACTAGCAGAACGAGTTTCAATATCAAAAATAAAAAAATCCAAAGTGTCAAAAACACGCACATCAAATCAACAACATCAATGAACATCGAAACTGATGAAAGGGACAACCCAGATATCTAACAAAAACATATTGGAAATGTAGGGAACAGTGGGGAAAGTAGAACACCCAAAACAAGTAAGTCTGAATTGAACCAATCATCAAACTCGCCAAAAACAACACAAATGAGAATCGCGAATCGTGGTGTCGCCCTTTTCAGGAGAACTGTCTGGGGCGAGCACCTCTGCTCAGGTTTTACCATATGTGTTTCCGACTGCCGGATGCTGAAACGTGACATCGACTCATCCTCTTTTATAAGACGTTTTTCATCGTGGCAATGCTCCCCCGGATTCAGGAATGATATGCGATCTTTGGTGGAGATTTTGGCCATTTTAGCGAATATTTCGGAATGATTCAGAATCCGAAGCTTTCGGCATGCTGAGGAATGAATTCGATTTATCTCCGATGTTTTGCGAAGGTCCCACAGCTCGCGAAGCGGACCCTCCTGAACCGGCCGGTTGTCCTTGGCAAAGTTATAGCAAGCCCAGCGCGCGCCGTGGTTTTGCCCAGTTGAACTGGCTGCTGCAAAGAGTGTATGCGTATCGCTGGAACATCTTCGGCTCTGAGTGTTTTTGCACCCTTGTGCTACAGTGAGTCGGCCGGCTTCAGTCTCAGTTGCACGCCAGATGCGACTGCGCGGTCTGAACATCTTCTCGTGATGGCGGCCTGTGCTGAAACATGATGAGATGCACAATGCACCGATAGATCTTGAAGCGAAACCCAGCCGTTATTGCATGCTACGCGATCCGGCCGCATCATCGCGAGCCCAGCATTGCGGACCTCGCAAGGCCAAGGGGCTCTTCAAAGCCGGGCACGAAAAGAACACAAAAAAAAAGGTCAGCACCGGAGACTCCACGACTCCTACGGATGCTGCAAGTTATGGGTGTCTTGTGTCAGCGATGGCTTTCCAGAAAATGCGCAGCAGGTGACAGCTGTCCTGGTTACATGTGCTCCACAGTGCCCGGCTGGGAGCGGACAGAACCCCGGGCCGAAATTTGCTGAGGCTGAGAAGCGCCGAAGCGCCTATGCCATTCGGAATGAAACTGAACGAGATAGACAACTCGCAACCATACAACCCAGACCCTAGATGTTCGGTATGCACACACACACACACATATTAATTTGTTGAGGCCTGTAGTTATGTCAGAGATGGCCAGCTAACGAAAATGCTCCCCTTTGCCGCTGCTATCCGGTGTCGTCATGGGCGCTACCCGTACTGTCTTGAAGTTTGGTTGAAGTCAAAACGTCTAGAGGCAGCAAGGACATGTTGAAGTGATGACATGTTTGTCTGATGTGGTCATTCTGCTTTGTCTTGCGGTTTCGCTATTCCACCACTTCTTATTGGAAGTAACCGATCACAAGCTCTACAAGCTCTACCACAACAGTACCAGTAGCATGGTGTAAGAAAGCATGTCGGTCGAGCTTCATGTCGAACAGTGTGTCTGTCAGACCTTTGCTTGGTCAAACTTTTGTGTCTTTTCTCGCCGTGGCCCTGTCAGATGCCGTCCGGCAGCGTGGGGGGCTTTGGCTCGTCACAGCGAGCTCCCAGGACGGTCGGGGTAAGGCTGGCCTGAAAATGGCGTGCGAAAACGAGCAGTGACGGAGACCCCTCCCCGGACATTCCAGTTGGAAAGGAGGCCGGGAAGGCCTCTGTGGCAGGTTCCTGGCCGGGGTGGGTGTCAGCCTCTCCTTCAAGGGATGAGGAGCTGTGAGAAAGCAAGGGCAAGCCTGGCCCCTTTATCAGCGCCTTCGCCCTCCATCTGCGCATAAGCCTCGCATGGCACCAGAGATGTCTGCACCCCTTGATTGCCTCATGCTATCTCATGCTCATCACCTCCGGGGAGTCTCAGGGACCCGCCAAAGGATTGCTCCTGCGCAGCAAGGTCTTCAGAAGCCTCGGGGCAGGAGGAGCACTCCACGCCTCTTCTGCTTTTTGAGTCTGGACGAGCAAACCAACATCGGCACGCATGGACACATCGAAGTCTTTTGCCGACTCTGAGGAACTTCGCGATCAAGTCAGAGACAAATTGACACGGGACATGGCACATGAAGCGCATGGGAGGGCGGAACAAGAAGCCAATTTTGGCTCCCTCCTGCAGTAAAGAGGCATGGTGAAAGCAACGGAGCATGGCCACTGCCGGAACACAGACTCCGGATAAAGCACGCTGAGTGGGCCTGTGCTCAGAGCGACCAGCTCCGGTGCATAACTTGCGTCAAGCAGCATTGAAGAATGTTGGCCAATTCTGCTTCACTGTACTTATCTAAGACAAATTGACCAAGATCTCCAGTGCTAGAAAAACAGCCTCCAGCTAGAACTCTGTGTCCCACTGGCTGCCATCGTCTTCGTAGCTTTCGTAAATCTCTTCCTCGCCGGGGCTCAGATGCTCTGGACCCCGCAGCCACGGGGAGGCGATATCCTTGTCATGTCTTCGACTTCGACTTCTACACAGACTGCAGATGACTGCAGATGACTGCAGATGACTGCGGATGACTGCGGATGACTGCAGGCTGCGCATGGCTGCGGCAAGTCACCGATGCTGTGATAGCTGACGGCTTCCAGGGCCTCTCATCAGCGGACCGAGACAGCAGAGTCCGCAGCTTCCTCGTTTGGGGCCCTCCGGGCCTCTCCACCGGGCTTTGCAGCGTTTGAGCGTGGAGGCCCGGGAAGTCGAAATCTGAGCTTTCAATAACTTGCAAAGCTGCTACTCTCCGACTCGCGCTCGAACCTTTGAAGTAGTAGTGTCCGCGCACTTCCTCGGCGCCGCCCTAGCACTGCAGTGTCTGAAAAACAGGTCCAAGCCCCCCATCACCAGCAGCCCTTTGCTGGCCTGCGCCCCGAGTCGCAGTGGCAGTTTCCGCAGCAGCCGAGCGATGAGGGCCTTTCCCTCGGCCGGGCATTCCGCGGGGAAGTTCAGCCGGTGCCTCGCCGGGACACGCTGCGCCACGCGGTGTGCTGCGCTGCGCCGTTGCAATGCTGAGCCAAGCAGCTCTTGGCTGCGGCGGAGCGCCAGCAGCCGCTCGCCAGTGTCTTCCAGCTCCTCGTCATCGAAAGGCCTCAGTCAGGACAGCGATGCACCGGTTGCCTGGCAGAAAATGCAGAGGTCAGAATTTCAGACTTTGAGAATCTCTTGAAACTCTCGGAGCCAAAGCTCATCACCGCCCTTAGAAAAGCTCCCTCTCAATGCTCTCTGCCCAGCGGCAGCTGCTGGCACAGCATCTCCTCGCCACACGAAGATCCCCGCCAAAAAAAGAGGCGACAACCACAGACAGCTAGCTCCCCCGATGAATCCGACGAGCCACATACATCAGCACGCCCAATGACCACCAATCGGCGGAGTTGTCGTGGTAATGAGGAGGATCGATCATCTCCGGAGCCATGTAGTCTGGTGTCCCGGCCTGACCGGAAAAGCCGTCGGCCAGAGAATGGGGTTCAATGGGGTTCAGGGTTTGGGGGAGCGGAGAGAACCCGGCTCTCCTGTCCTGCGTGTTTGTCTTGCCCACCACGAATCTTGCCAGGCCCATGTCGCAGACCTTTCCGTAACCCCGGGTGTCCAGCATGATGTTCCTGGGCATGGGAGGGGCAGCATGGCCTGACATGTTTGCTCTGCCGGCGCGGCACTCAGGCTTGAGATCTCTGTAGATGATCTTTCGCTCGTGCAGATGCTCCAGAGCCGCGATCACACAGCCGGCATAGAAGGCCTGAGCAGAGCATCCGAGTGGGCCGAAGCCGAGTCGCAGCCGAGTCGGAGCCCCCGGATTTCCCCCGGGCGTCCACGCCGAGGTGTAGCCACGAGGCTGGTCAGCAAGAAAGATGTCCTCTGCGGTCCGCATCTCTTGTCGCGTCATCTCGACGAGCGGGGAGAGTCCCGGCCCCCCGGCGGTCCTGGTGGGTGCTGAAGAGCCCATAGAGATCTCCTCCAAGAGCAGCCTCCAGCAAGAAGTAGACGAACTGCTGGTCCTCCGAAGGAAAGCAAAGCTTCCCCGGCTCTCAACGGCCTGTTCTCGCTTTGCTCCTTCATGGTCTTGTGCAGGCGGACGATGAAACTGCTGTCCAGCATGTTGAGAAGATCCCGCTCCCAGCAAAGCGATTGGCAGGTCCCACACCTGCGGCCATCATGCGATCGGCGGCACATGGAGTCTTTCGGCCCCCCTCGCCTCAATGCATGGCCTTTCCTGGGCAGCACAGTGGCTCTGATACGAGTATTTACATCGCACATGTCTACATGTCAGGCCAGGCGGCGACACCCGCTTCAGCGCATAGCGCTCTTGCGACGGCTCGTCCTCTACCAGGAAGACCGTGCCGAAGGCACCCTGACCCAAACCTCAAGGCACCGACACCACCAGGTGATCAACAAAGCGCAAGACACGGAAGCAGCACGCCAAGGTGCGACAAACCTCTTTCACAGAATGGATAGTGGAGCCGCATTCAAACTTCTGACGGCTTTTGCAGGTCTTGATCTTCTCCCACTCACCTCCCAGACTCGATGCTCCCAGCAGTTCCGTACGGATGTGCTACACGCACAGAAATAGGAGACATCTGGTCCGCCAGGTGGCTCACATCAGCGTTCACATCGGGGAGCATCGACGCATCGCTGAGGGATAGATCTGGGCAGCATAGCTCTTGTATTGCTGGGTGAAGAAATGTTTGTTCCGAGGTTCTGGTGAAGATGTCGCAGATCAGCTCGCCATCCTGGCAGTATCGCGGAACTGAGTTGCTCGAGTCCGGCGTGCAGCTAACCGCTGGGGCACGAAAGTGAGGCAGGTCATGCCCTCGGGCCCAGCATCGACGTTGACCTTCGATGGGAAACAGTGCTCTTCCTTCTCTTCTCAGGGGCGACAAAGCTCCGCGCCTCGGAGATGCACTGCCCGGTCACCTTCGCGCGGAGCAGAGACCGCTCCCCGAAGGTGTTGCCTCACAGGGGCCTCTCCGTCTCCCGTGAACACACTGTTCGGTCCATTGGGGTTGTTGTGCTTGCTTCGACTTCAATACGGTCTCTCACTTGTCCGTCTTACCAGGATCACAAATCATTCGCAAATGGTGGGTCGAAGGCGAAGCTCCCCATTATCTGCACACCTGTCGCCGGTTCTCGCCCACTACTTCGTCTGCATTCTTTGGCCGTCGTGCTTTTGCCTCTCACATGAGTTCGCTCTTCAAGCATTTTTTGACTTTTCTGTTTGCATTCCTCTGCGTTTCCTCCTTGCCTTTCGGCTTTCACCGCTCGCACGTCTTGCATACGTTGCGCCGACAACTTGAACAATGGTTGCTTCTTTTCGGGGCTTTATGGGTGGTATTGGGTGGTCATAATGTGTCTGCATTTCCAAGCCTGTTCAGAGATAACCGCTGCCCTTATATTTCATTTCCCCCCCCACTCATATATAGAATGGCTCGACGGTGGATGTTGCCGGGCCCCGTCAGTGAAACCCAGAACCGCGAAATGGGGGGGGCAACGAAAACTGCGTTGGTCTTCCGAGGACCGTTACCATCAATAGCACCCATGTTCCTACCAACGGTGGGGACTGGTTGTATCAGGTGGCTACTACGATGAACAGTAAGTATACTACACTCGTAGTAACTCTACTTGTTTACAAACCAATCCAACCACAAGATTATGCAAAGCTCTTTCGGGGCTGCAGACAGAAGCAGCGAGCTACATGGTCGCATGAACGTCCAACTGCAAAGACGGAAGGGCGACTGCAGGTTGGAAGAGCCACACGGATGTAGGGATTCAGTGCGCAACTAGCTAGCGAAGCATTCCATGCAGCGAACCATGCTGCATGTGGCAGCCTCTAAAAGGCTCAAAGGAGATCCTTCATATCCTTCTAGGCTAATACATACACGTTTTAAGCTTTAAGCTTCGGCATATGTCATGTACAGTCCTGTCTGGCATGGTCACAGGCTTAACTTGGCAAGACGCTGCTTCTTGCCGTGCTTTAAAACCGGAGACCCTCACACGCAAGGGCTATGAGCCCAAGCCCTAACTAACCCCTGTGAGTTTCTCGTCATGGCTGCGGCGGTTGAGCAATCTGCTCCCGCTGCCAATAGGTCTGGCAATATCTTGGAGAAAAAGGGGTATCTCTGGATACGGAAGCAGCAAAGCAAGGAGAAAGAACGTGGACGGTCCTTGGTGCTGGAAGCATCTCGGTCCAAAAAGAGCAGATGGTGTTTTCGAGCAGACCTGCGTCTGGGTCGTGGTCGATCCCAGGGTTGAGACTGACAGCGGCAGGAGTGTGGTGGAGGTCGGGGCCGACCAGAAGTTCTTCACAGTAGCTGGCGACGAGGAGGCCGGTACTGCGGTGTGGAATCGAACCTTTGAGACTGCCAAGGCTCAGGCCACAACTTCAAGCCCTCAGGAGTGGCTGGTGGCGGGTGCGAGACGCCGTGTGTGCTCCAAAAAAACCAGGGATGCTCAGGGTGCCTCTTCGGGCCCTCGGAGCTCAGCGTTTGGATCTCCAGCTCAAGCCACTAGGACACTAGGAACTCGTCTGCTGTGGCGGTTGAGTCGTCTACTCCCCCGTGGAACGGGGAATCGTAAGTCCTAAGGTTGATGTCCTTAACATGCAATCTCCACGAAGGAAGAAAAAACCGCGAAAAGCCAAGACCAAGTGGACCAAATCCGCGGCGATGGATCTAGCGATCCGCGACAACGCTGTGTCTCCTGGAAGGAGTCAAGACGAGTCCCATCTCCTCGAATTCCACGCTAAGCCCTGTGTCAAGTGATCAGGAGGGTGGATGTCCCGTGCGGAGTCCCATGTGTTGTGCATTCAGCTGACGCAGTTGGCAATGCGCAAGGTGCCGCCTCACGTCCTACAGTTGAGGTTCAAGTTGCGGTGCCCACTTCTGTAGCATAGTCGTTCACCCCTGTCCCTTTATCCGGTGCCGATTCTCCGATGGTGTCAGGGACGCGGGGAGCTGATGCACAGGTGTTGGCTCACACGGGGCTCCCTGATTCAGGCAGGGGCGAGCGAGTTCGCACTTGCACCTTTTCGCGGGTGCCATTCTGAAAACCCGTCTCTTCAGGGTTCAGGCATGGGTCGGTGGTGACTTCGGACGATAATGTGGGAGGAATGCCGTAGGGTTAGTGCAGAACTTATGAATATGAGGTTGTTGCAGGGTCTTGTGAGCCCGAGGATAGGGCGAGAACTTTGTTTGGTCCCGATGGAGCTTGCAGTGGTGTTCATTCAGCAAGATGGCTTCAGCACCCTCTGGTCCTCGCGCAAGAGGAGATGAGGCCGAGGTTTGCGGTGAAGCGTCGAGGACAGTTGATGTTGCTCCGGGACTCTGAACACAACGCTGACCACATTGAGGCACGCCCAAGAACTCAATCTGGTGCTTGGACTTTCGTGATCGAACAGATCTGTGAGTCGGTTGCAGACTCTACACTTCTGAGCGTTCAGGAGCTCGGGAGTTTGTTGCCCAGGCATCATGTCCTCGACAATGTTCCCGAAATTCTCGTCGAACAGAAGCTTGAGGTTGTTGCCGAATTCTTGCTCCAAGGTGGGAACCAGCCTCCTTGGGGAGTTGAAGTCGAGATTAGGCAGACCTGTCTTGTAGCCGACCGGTTGGGTCATTTGGAGCGGTTAGCGGCCGTCACAGCCGCAACCTAACGTTGAGTGGTTACTCCTTTCTCCATCGAGGAGAACGCTATGAGGTCCGGGCTGTGGTTCGGATTGGTGACCTCTGGAAATATCCCGGCGGGGTTTCCTTGCCCTTGGACTGCAGCTCGCAGGCAACGTATGTCGCTGCCTTTCCAAAGCGGCTGCGGCCGATCCACGGTGATACGTGTGGCACATCGACGGGTGTCTGCCCAGCTGGCCTCCCTCAAAACAGGGCTAGAAGCCCCCGCAGGGGCCCTGCACAAGCCTCCTGCCTGTCCCTATGACCACACCTTACAGTAGCTTCACTTTGATCTTGACCAAAGATGGCCAGGACCCACCATCATGAACTTGCCCCCTCCAAGCACCCTATAGTTGAAACCCCCCACATCACCGTTTTCCCCTTGCTTTCTGTTGGGAATGCACCGGCGCACAAACACACGGCCACCTCGCGGAAGTTCGGCAATCTTCCGACCTCTCAAAAGGGGCGAACCCCCTTTGAAACACGGCCAGCAAAAGAAAAAAAGAAGAAGAAGCAGAAGAAGAAGAAGAAAGCGCAGCACTTGGGTCTGCACTCTCGTGGCCGTCGCTTTGGCTGAGGACAGCAGTGCCTTTGAAGATCACATACCTTCCAGAACTCAAATTCGGGCCATGCGTCGGACCCATCCAATCCAAGCAGAACGGAATGAAACGCAAGTCAAGGCTCCACATGGGCTTCTGGCGAACTTTGCCTGCACGAACAAGCGCAGACTGTCCCCGACTCCTTTGCCTGCCTCCTAGGACACCTCGCCTTGGAAGAGCACGCGCTGGTTCGGATCGAAGCTGATCATGTCCTGCGCAAAGGCGGCCAGCTCCATCCGCTCCGACCTCCCAGAGATTTCCACAGCTCTTTTCCGTGTCTCAGTCTGAGGAGCCAAGTGGGCCTCAGGAGGGGAGTGAGCGAGTCCACCTCCGTTATGGGGACTTCCCGCCGATTATAAGTCTGTGTGTGCCAGGCTGGCGCCGCTCTTGCCTCGTCCAGGAGGTCGCAGTACTCCTTAAACTTCCGCCTCCCGCTGTCCCGACCTGCGCCAGAAACCCAAGATCACCGTCGCCAGCTCCCTTTTCTTCCGCTCTCCGGGCTCCGGTCCTGTGATCTCTTTGAAGATCTTCCGGTTAATCACCTGACTCAGATTGAAGCAAGAAGCGAGGCGGATCTCCATGGCGGCTCTCTCTCAACTCTTCAGAGGCAGAGGCAAAGAGCTTCGTCTCCTCGGCGGCCCGGAAGGTCGCCTCCAAAAGCGGGAGCCGGAGAGCGGAACGGCCCCCAATACGTACGCAGGCATACGACTCCTGCTCCGCGCCTCTCGGCGGATGTTGTAAAGCAAAGAGAGCTCACCGAAGCTGTCTCCAGCATGCAAGGTGCTGATGACCTGCGCGCACTCCCCACTTGCAAGCCCACATGGCCTTGTCGTTCGTGCGGTTGCGAAGCCCGTGGGCAGGAGCCTTGTCGTTCGGCTTTTCCGACTTTTCTTGCTCGGTCTCATCCGCCAAAGCGTCTACACAACGGGATAAAGGCTGTCGGAGGCTGTTGGACGCCGGAACTCGGCCATCTCTTCCGGCCTAGCTTCAACTTCCGGCTGGCCGATTTGACGCGGAAGGACGTGGCATTGAAGGAGGAGCCGATGTCAAGCCTTAAAAAAAACGGGGACGGGAACGAGCCACAGCATCCTCTCTGAGCTGTTTCCGGCTTTTTGTTGGGGTCCTCACGACTCGGCGCCCGTCACGACCGCCTCCTCTTCTCGGGGATCCTGCTGGTGCCCAGACCAAAAAAGGAACGGGGGGCCCTTTCTTCTTTGCCAGTCCTTGGTAAGCACGGAGCAGCTGCGGTTGAACTTCGCCTTCTTCGAATTCCGATCCACCACCGGGATGTGCAGCTTCATGAGGAAGTCCTGCTTCCTGGAGTTGCTTTTTTCCCCCCTTTTCTGATCCCCTTCTCTACAGGTATGGCATGACGGCATTAGAAACCCGGGAGCCTGCGAATGCGATCAGCCATGGAGAAGGTGGCGGCTGCAGCTGCAGCCGACTTTGACGGACCTCTTTGGCCCTGCCCCTGCTTCAGCGCTCCGGTGTTGATGATGACCTCGATGCTGCCTTGCCTTGAAAGGAGCAGCTTCAGCAGCTTGCCATTGGCTCACACATGCTCACATTCCTGGGCTCCATGCTCGATAACATAGAATTCGTGACCAAGATCCCCAAATTTGGCGGCAGTGTCGCCGCATTTCAGCGTGCGAATCTCTGAGTTGGCGACCTGGGCAGAAGCGACGGGCTGAGCCAGAGAGGCTGGGGCTGATGCAGATTCTCTTGTCCCTCAGGGAAACACGATTTCCTTGATGGAATCCTCGCTGGGCCCATTCGCACCGTCGACGAAAGCTCTGAAGTTCGGATTGTGTTTCATCGCCCGAATGATTGCAGTCTGCTGATTCTGATCGAGCTTCTTCATGCCTCAGAATTGCAGGACATGGAGCCCCTCTCTGAACGCTGCACGTCTTGCTTGCCCGGTGGCAGAAGGATGACCGCTTCCTTAATCAGCCCAGTGAGCCGGTGCAATCGGATTCGAAGAATCGAGACGTCCCCACATCGTCTCTGAGCGGCTTGGGTGACAAGGGAGTCGTCGGCAAGAGAGTTTTCTGGCTGCTACCTCATGGCCAGGGCTCGCGCTTGCCGCTGTTGAGGGAGGCCCTCTGTGCCCTTTTTTTCTCCCCGGTGCCTCCGACTTCGATGGCCGGCCGCTTCGGAAAGTGCAGCCGAGCCTTCAGTCCAGCTTGCTCGAAGGCCTCGAGGAACTGTTCGAAGAACACACAGGAACACGAAAAAATGGTGGGCTCCAGAGGATCCTCGCCTGCTTGGACATGGAGAGCGTGACCAGCTCACCGACCGCCAGGACGGTGGCCATGTGCCGCTGCTCCGTGACGATGGCTCGGCCTGCACGGCTCCCAGAAGCCAAAAGCAACGTCACAGACCTCTCTATGAGAGAGGTCTTTTTTGTAGGGCCTCCGATGTAGTCGCCTGCGCTCAGGAGGCCCACCTCCTGCTCCTGGCCGTTTGCATCGGTGTTTTTTGACTTCCGAGACCGGAGGCCGCATGCAGTCCTCCCCTTGGTCGTCCTTCGCATGGCGATAGATAGGGTGTCAGAATCTCTTCCCGACTTGGACGACGCTTGGAGTCCTTCATCATCAAGGCCGCCTGCCCTTCGTAGATCATGAAGAAGGTGTCGCCGATGTCGCCTGGTATTGGTCACTGGTACCGATGTTCGCGAAAATGGAGTGGAAAGTCAGGGCCTTGGGTCACGAGCTTTGAGCCCTTCGGCCAGGTCTTCTCTTCTAGAAGCTGCGCCACCTCAGCTTTGAAGCAGCAGCCAGAGGCGACAATCTCCACTCCTTGGCGCCCCGCCTTTGGCAGCTCGCAGGGAGGCAGCTGCTTCTTGAAAAGGGGCACCTGGGACGGGACAGGAAAGGAGCGAAAGGGCGCTTCTTTGGACGAGGCCGCCAGGCCACCGAGGTCAAGAAATTCACCTGAGCGGCGTTGCCCTAGAGCCAAAAAACCCCAAGGCCCTATAGAGGCCCCTAGAGGACTCCAAGGACTCCCTATAGGACCTATGGGCATATCAGCTCGTGTTCGTCCCTGAGCCGGAAGCTGTCTGTTCGAACTTATCACGCTCCTCGTTCCAATTCCTGACCGGGCACGGCGCAGATGCGGGGCTCAAGCAGAAAGGAGCATGGCTGCAAAGGCGAAGTTGCGACGACGACATGATTGGAAACTCCAGCAGACACTGACCGAGACAAGGACCTGAACGATGGACCCACTGAACATGCGAAAACTTGGGAAAAGCGAAGACTGGGGCAAACCACCAAATCAGCCCAGGGCCATTTATTCGCTTCGAGCAACGAAAAAGTTTACCGGACGAAAATGAAGTGGCGCCGAAGCGGGTCGGTTGCTGCTCTTCACGAACCTACTTCAGAGCCAAAGTTCTCAGTGCTCCGGTGCGCACTCTTCGACTCTTCGTGCTGTCAGTCAAACACGACGGCTAAGCCGTTCCCAGCATCGGCTGGCTCAGCTGCCACTACTGAGGAATTCAAAAACTGTTTACCGATTCTGCGAGTGAAGACACTCGACGTGGAGCTACTGGAGCCTCTCGGAACAGTCGTTTGACCAAGAACAAGGCACACGAAGTTGAACCAAGGACCGGAGCATCCGCTTCCGCAAGCCAAATGGGCAGACACACATCGAATGCGATTGGACCCAATCGCATGCAAGGGTAGAAGGCAAGTGGAGCGTGTTTGCGCTTTGGCCAAATCAACCTTCCCATTGTCGTTCCGAAACTTCTTGGGGTACCCGGGAGCACACCATTCAGGAGGGCGGAAGCCACAACAGTGTCACGTTGTCATAGAATGTAGCGCAACGTCATGTGGTGTGTAGTGTACTCTGATAATCTCGTAGAATTTTTCAATGTAAAGTACATGCAGCTGTACATGGGCAAGTAGGCAAGCATACAGGCAAGGATGCATAAGTGAATATATGCCGCGCATCCATCCTGGCAAATACATACACTCATCATACGGTCAGACATTGGTCATACATCGTTTTCATTCCAAAGGCTGAGAGACCGTTGGTCGCGCTTGTTGCAAGAAAACTGAATTTTGTGCAACTAGTCATCAGGGCTACAGATGCCTACTGAAAGCAGTCACGTTGGTAGTGGCTCAAGCGAGGCAGGTGCTTTTCGGGAGGCTCTGAGCAAAACATCACAAGCAGCTTTCACATCCGCTGTTTGCCGCTTGGCAGCAGACAAGGGCGCGCCGCCAACGAAAGGGGTCGCAGAAACTAGGGCAGGGCGGGTCATCCAAGTCGAAGGATACCTCCTTGCAGAGGACAAAAGGGACATCGGAATCCAAGGACCCAGGGAGGTCGGCAAAGCAGTTACCGCCGATGAATTTTTGGTGCGGCCGAAGGCATCGCAGATGAGGTCAGGGTCGAGCATCAGGAGGACATCCTCAACTACCCCCTGAAAGTCTGCATTTGCAGAAGCCTGCCTACCCCAAAGTCGAAGAGTCTCGCGCAGGACTTCTAAGGGCTCAATGAACCCCCACAACGGTTCGCCAGGCAGATCGAGCAGCCCCTTGTTGTAGGCGGCAAGGTCAGGGTCGCAGCATCCCTTCCGACGTGAGGGGAGGCACACAATCATGCAATTGCGGGATCACGACGCCCTCATCAAGAACGAAGGAACCCTGGCCGGTCGCCGCAAAATGCAGGAGATGCCTGCGGAGCCTTGCGGGCTTCGAACAGCACTTGCCACATGTCTGGCACCAAGTACCACCCTGGCTGCCCACTAACACCGATGCCGCAATGCGGATATCCGTGGAGCTTCGAGGAGTGGAAGGCCCATGCGGCTCTAGACGTGAAGGCCTTCCCATAAAAAGGGCACAGGAAGTAGAAGACAAAGAGGAGAAGTGAGTATGGCGATTGAAACAGCGAAGTCTCTGGTCTACTCAGGCTCCGGTGCCACTACGAAACCCGGGCAATTCCAGCCACTCGCCGAGACTGAATCAAGGCCAAAAGAGGCGACGGAACGCAGCTGCTACGTTCATGCGATCAAGACCTGCTGCTGACAGGTCATATGGTTAGCGCGATCAGATGATGTGGTAGTGATGGGCTTGGATCGGCCTGAACACCAACATGTTGACCACATTCTCCCTGAAGTACTTCAAAGTCGCTATCAGCCCGCCACAGCCTCAGACAAGAGCCGGCGAAAGTGGAGAGAGCAAAAGAGAGAAAGCCCAGAGCTCCGGAGCTGGCCCTCCCCTTCGGAGCCCTTCGGGTCCCGGGCAACCGATCGGCTCCTCCAGAGCGGCGCGCGAGGCCCGCAGGGCGGCGAGCAACGGCAGGGAAAGGCCTTGGGAAAAAAAGGCAGCCCAAAAAATGAGCAAAAGGCGGCTCTCCGCCTGATCTCTGGGCCTCCGGGCCGCGGGAGACTTCTGCAACGGGCTCCACCAAAGAGCGGGTACTCCGCTCGGTGACGCCACTGGCGGTGCTCCGAGGTGACGGTGAGGGCGAGGCCTCTTCGGGGATTTCCCTCAGCTCCGGCGGCTCCTTGGAGCCCGGGAGCCGGATGCCCTTCTTCTTTGAGAGCAAGTGCTCATCATCCAGATCTAGGCAGTTCCCTTCACTCTCTTTGCTGGACAATCGCCCCTTCACTTCGGGCAATCGTGGCAGTGTGCCTGCCGCCTCATCTGCTCGGGACAGCCTCCGAGGGCTCTCAGAGGCACTAAGCTGAGATCCGGCCTTTGAAGTGCTGGGACTCCGGCAATGGCAGTCGCACCTGCACAACTCTGCACAACTGAGCCACAGAAAGACCTCTGCACCACCCGACCCGAAACCAGCTTCACTGTAGAGCAACCAGAACTTGCCCGAAGCCTGCTCTTGTGCCGGAAAACGTGTGGATGTTCCTGGCAGCAGCTACCAGGAAAGAAATGCTGAATTTTAGCAACTAAACGACTGAAGCAGGGGGGGCCCCTCCTGCATCGATGGTCATGGATCCGAGCGTGGCTGTGTCGTGTGGCTTCGTTGTGAAGGCCTATAGAGGCCGTGGAAAATGGACGTCTAAAGTTGCCGAGCCAGTGGAAAGCGACAGGAGCTAGCAGGTCAGTCTGAGCCGTGAGCATGTGTACGGGAGTTGCAGTATGCAAGTATGTACGGGATGCGTGCTGCGACCGTCTCGTGGATGCTACAATGGGAACTGAGCCAAGAAAGCAACGAAGCTGAGACGTGAGTGCTCCGGTGGGTCAGGCCACTGGGATGGCTCGACTGGGAACACTGTTGTCATGCTGCCGGGTCCCCGGACGAGGCAGTTGCTGCCAAGACGAAGATACAAACGAAGAGCGAGCAGTAGGCATCCGCCTTTGCGGCTCACGGGCTGCGAGGCCAACCGCACGCGAAATACCCCTCGCGCTTCGGCACCAGGCCATGGAAGCCTGAACGAGGCCAACCTTGCCAAAGCAAAGATGGGTGCGGATTCCGGTGCAGATTCCGGTGCGGTCACATGCGGTCGCGTGGGCCGGTGGCCACCGGCCGGCCTCGGCCAGGATCCCTGCCAAAAGCACGGCGAAGCCGCGGACCTCAGCGAGGCAAGGCAGCGGTGTTGAAGCGGCTTCGCCGGTGTGGCGCCCCCCACCACGTCAGCACCGAGGTGAGCCAGGGCCCCGAAGAGGTTCAGGTTCGATGCCTCGAATTAGAGCGTCGGACAGTGCGTCGGACGGGGGTTTCGTGGCCTCTTCTTCCATGAGCTTCGAGGCGCCGCAGCTCCAGGTGCAGAGCACCTGCACAGACAGACAGCTGTGTTTTGCGAGGCCTTTGAAGGCGGCGGCTCAGCGGCGGCACGACGACGAAGTCGGCAGCAAGGTTCAGGCTCGTGAACGCGATCATGATCTCGCTGTTCACCTCGGAGGAGCGGAGAGCGAGCGGCGGAGCGGCGGAGCGGCCGGGCCGGCCTGGATGTCGTGCAGCTGGGATCCCATGGAGCCGACCTGCAGCATAGGCTAGGTGCGGCTTTCTCGCAGCCTCTGCTCACGCTTTTTCTCTGGGGCCTGGAGAGCCGATTCCCGCTCCTGCCCCGTCAAGCGCTCGATGACGTCGAAGAGCACCCAGACCCTCGCCGCACTCGAACTGCACTCTGCGCTCGCCGCTCTGCGCTTTCCGAAGCTCAGCTCAGCGGCGTCGTGGCCGCCAGCATCGCAGCACTGAAGAAGGCAGCTGCTCGGTCCAGTCGCTTGGCGTCCTCGCTCCAAAGCTTCCCGTTTGTGGCGTCGGCAAGAAGCGGGTCTCTTGCCTGCGCAGAGGCCTTCTTCTTCTCGGCATAGAGGCTCACAGCATAAGACACCTCGCAATGGACTGCTCTGGCTCTGGCTCTTGGCGCTGCTGGGCACTGCTGGGCTTTCCGGCACCGTCCATTGCCATCAAAGCCCCATCCCCCAGCAGGGATAGGGAGTTCCTGAGCAAGAAAGAGAGGGAAAGATCCTGAATCGCATGCTCTCAGGTCGCGGACGCAACGACTCCGCAAAAGATCTGAGTTCCTTCGGCAGAACGAACTGCTTGTCTCTTCCACTCTTCCACTGGTGCACCGAAGTGCTTCTGCTGCAGGACGCTGCAGGCCTGTGAGAAGGCTGTTGACGCCGAACATGAGCCAAAGTGCCCGTTCCTGCACCCCACCAGCATCTGCAAGGCGTGCGTGTCAGGCACCCCGTCTGCTGAGACGGGCACGGTGTCGTTGCCACCGGTGCCTACTGGACGCAGTGAAGCGTCAAAAAAAAAGCAGAATGCACACATCTCAGCTCCTCACCTCCCCCGCAACATCGGCGACCTGCGAACCAAAGAAAAAAAACACCAGCTTTTTCCCTTCGTTCCTGCCACGAGGCACACTCGGAGCCTGAGAAACTCGGTGAATCAACTGTGGCCTTCGAGCTGCCAAAAACCGCTCCGCGCCGCTCTCACGGCTCGCGCGATTTCGCGAAGACTAGGCTGCTGGCGTCAGCTTCCAGCCCTGCAGGAGGGGTCGGTCATGACTGGAGTCAGAAAACACTCCCGGGCAAAGCCGTCTCCGGCTCCCTTCTAAAATCCACAAGCTCGACGTTGGAGCTGCCAAGAATCAGCATCTGACTCCACGTCTTCTGAACTCTGCAGGATGCTCAGAAGTGTGTACCTAATATGGCTGTCAAATCTCTGGAGATTTACATACAGGGTTAAGTTGAAGATCATCTTATCATAATTGTCATCGTCTTTCGTCTGCATCACCACGGAGTCGAAGTCTGCAATTAGGCCTGGAGTCGTATCACGGAGTCATCCGAGCAATCGAGGATTGCAATGATTTCTGACCAGACGGCGTGCAGAACGATTGAATCGAAACGCTGCTGCATTGCTGACTCGAGAGACCTAAACGCCCAGCCAGGTTTAGCTTTGCGTTTGCTCCGGGCTGCATGGACGCTCCATGTAACATCATGTAACATGTTGCTGCAATGTTGCTTTGTCTCGCCTTCCTCAAGGGCCATGCGACGGGCTGCCCATGCCGCATCGGTTCCCGAAACCGGCCAAGCGCATGCCAAGAGAAACTCACGGTCACTGCCGGGACGCTTCGCCTTCTGAAGACTGTGTAGAATGCCATGGCAGACACCGGCAGATGTCTGCGCATGTCCTAAAAGCACGTGTCGCTGGGAGGCTGCGGTGAGTGCGGGTGGAGTCGCAGGTTCTGTGCGGTTACCTGCGATGCTTCCCGTCTTCGTTCACACGGGCAGGACGTCCGCTTTTTTCGCACTCATCCCTTCAGGACGCTTGCAAAGTTCGCGGGCAGCTCCTTGCAGTGCGAAAGCGTCTCTTTCTTTGAGGATCCCAGTTGTGAGTCTCAGTCGGGCCTGTATCGAGACGGCATAAAACTTCTCCAGATCCTTGATGAGCGCCTCGTCTTCGGTCCTCCGAAGTCTTCAGAAGTTGGGGAGTGGTGCTAAGCTGAAAGCTACGCTGGAGCCTCACGAGATTCACAGCGACACCGCGGCGCCCAAAGCGACCGGAGCGACCGATACGATGCAGGTAGAACCTAGCAGTTGCCCACCGGTAGGCCCGGTAGGGTGGGGTGCGCTGAATGGAGGAGCTGAGTCTGAAGGGGCGTGGGGTGCCGTCCAGATGCTCGCGACTTGCTGGAACGTCATAGTTGATGACCAGTGTGACCTCCAAGAGAAGACTACTCGCCAAGCCAGTCTCAAAGTTATCCCATTCGTGGCCTGCTGTACGTCCAGACCACGACCCAGCAGATCCGTAGCGATGAGCTGCCTGAGAAGGCGACGAAGGCAGCATCTCGCAGCATCCTTCTCTCGAATCGGAGGCCTCGTCCGGCCATCCCGGAAGGCCTCCATCACCGTGTCGCGTTCCTTCGAGAAGAGCGAACCCACGACAGATTCGACACTGTCACGAGGGGGCCTTCTGGAGCATGTCTCCGTGAATCGAGGCGATGGGGAAGTTTGCGCCACGCATCTTCTGCGCAAGCCAATCCACCTTCTTCTTGTTATTGCCTCCCGGTGGGTCGCTCCTAGAGCCTTCGGACTTCGCACCTAGCCTGGTGTTGCACACGAACGGGACTCACTCGGCATTGTCTCGGTGACATTAAGCAAGCTGCAGAATATCACAGCTTGGGTGATTGCCACGGAATCGAAAATGTCACAAAGCGTATCGAATTTCCACTCTTCCTGGCGGAAGGCACGCACATTCGAAAAGCTTCGTGAAGCTCACTCCGCTGGTTGCACACAGTCCTTCTCCACAGATACAGAAAACTGCCGAATGCCGTGCAGTGAGAGATCCTCACGTTTCACCAGCAGGCGGAAGGGCTTCTTCATGAAGTCTTGTGTCATCTCGAGCACCTGCAGACATCTTAAATCAAACTAGAGGGTAGCGAAATTTCAGGGGCTTGTGGCCGCCTCCTCAGGCAGTGTGGCCGAGACGAGCACAGTCTGAAGTCGCTCCGGCAGGCTGCGCCTAATGCTATACACCTCCGCAAGGAGGTTTGGCTTTCAACATGTCCCCTCTGAGGTTCAAGGATGAACGCCTGCTCCTTGAAGCCCTTGCTGAACATCTCATCGGCTTCATCTAGCACCAACATCTTCATGCGCTTCACCTGCTTGACGTCCAATTCCGCACAGTGGTCTGTGGCAACCAAGCTTGATCTGAGTGACTTCGAGATGCCGTTGCTGGATCATGCTCAGGACCTCCACATGCAGCAACTCGGGGATGTTTTCAAGATTACCTAGGCCATGCCAAGCCACACGTCCGGGAGTTCCAGAGATCATGTGAACCCCTGGGCTGAGGTAACCGTTTTGGCAATGAGAAAGCTTGCGGAAACCGTGTCACTGCAACTACACGTGCTGGTTTCTCTTTTGCAGGCAAGCTGCCAGATTTGAGTGCTTTGATGCTGTCCTTGATGCTCTTGCCACCCATGCATCGGTGAATCTTCACGCCCATATAATCACCCAATGCCGCACACACCTCGATCAAAGACTCGACTCCCTTCCTGAAGACCACTGTGCACCATCGGAGCCTTGGCACTCTGTTCTGCTAGCTCACGCGTGGGTGACAGAAGGGCAGCCTGACAGCGTGGAAGGCCAGCCATATGGCGGTTATCACAGCACCCAGCAAAGGATGAGTTCTGGTACAAGCCTTGATAGGGCCTAGGCCTGGATATGAGGACTTCCCACCTGCGGCTCCGTGCTCGAGATATCCAGGGTCTGCAAGGCGCCAAGGCAAAACACCGATGTCTTCCCTGCGAGCAGATACTGCGGGAGTCGGTGCCAACCCATGCAAAGCCATCGCCTGTGCCACTTTGTGATTGCACGATCACATCGCGGCCTCTGCACAAAATATGGCTCCCGATCGCTCTCTCCTCTCCCTGCGGCTCTTCTCGAGAGCCTTGTAACACTGGAGGAATCGCTCTCTGCTGCACAGGCGATGGCCTCGAATGGGCTTGTCTTCGATGCAATTTGGGCAAGCGCACCATCCCGACCTCTCGAAGCCATATGCATACACACCTCGGAGCACGTCGTCCTGCTTGCATCTGCGATGCTGGTGGATCACAGACGGGAGAACAAACAAAAAGGCTGCAAACCGTCCCTGAGCCCCATCTTGCTGAACGACGCTACAGCACGCACATCCTGCCGGATTTGTAAACCGACACGGATGCACTTTGGGGCTCATGAAATCGGACCAAGAAATGGCACCTCCGAGGCCTCGAAGGTCAAGGTCGCATCATCCATGGCTCGGGCAGGCGGTTAACTCAACAGAGATGATTGGGGTTTAGGGTTTAGGGTTTAGGGTTTAGGGAGTTTAGGGATGTTTAGGGGTTAGACAGCGCGCGGCTCGGTTCTCGGTGGCTCTCCCTCTCTCCCACCCTCTTCTTCACCCTCACGTGCTCACTCGATGAAAGCATGGTCGTTTTCATGACTCCGGTGTGGGCGAAGCGGCTGCTTCAACTCGAGATGGCTTCCAAGGTCATGCTTCTTGTGAAACTGGCTTGAATGAACACCTGCGTGCATGCAACACTCCGGTCCGAAGTTCCATAGAGAACCAGACATGAGTGAGACTCGACACCTGTGCTTTGGCTGCAGCAACTCAAGGTAATGCGTTGAACGTGTCAACAACAACAACAACTGAAAAAGTAGAAGAACTCAGAAGTCTACACAAACAGAGCTCAACCCTGAAGTCAGCGAAGCACTCAGCGAAGTCCTCTTTAGCCCAAGCGTCTTGAGCCACACGCGAAGTGTGGAAGTGCAGGTCACAGCTGCAAGACTGTACCAGGGAAGTGTGCCAGAAGTGTTACATCTTGACAAAAACAACAACAACA